ATATATATATATATATATATATATATATATATATATATATATATATATATATATATATATATATATATATATATATATATATATATATATATATATATATATATATATATATATATATATATATATATATATATATATATATATATATATATATATATATATATATATATATATATATATATATATATATATATATATATATATATATATATATATATATATATATATATATATATATATATATATATATATATATATATATATATATATATATATATATATATATATATATATATATATATATATATATATATATATATATATATATATATATATATATATATATATATATATATATATATATATATATATATATATATATATATATATATATATATATATATATATATATATATATATATATATATATATATATATATATATATATATATATATATATATATATATATATATATATATATATATATATATATATATATATATATATATATATATATATATATATATATATATATATATATATATATATATATATATATATATATATATATATATATATATATATATATATATATATATATATATAAATATATTTATGACAGCTCCCATCTCCCATAAGAACATGATTCCCATCTAGAAAGCACACTCCTGTGTTGAGATTTTTCAAATCACATGATCATACTGTATGTTCTAAAAAAGGACTCATGAGGTTTTTGAAAGGAACAGTGATCACATTGCAGAACTCCGTCACCAATACGTCCAGGTAAGGTTATGCAATACAGTCATTACTTTACTATGCACAGTGTGTTTTGCAGTAACCTACTCTATAAACCTGGTGTTCATTAGTACATACATTAGTTATAGTACAGTGAACCATTTACACTGTGTCTAATTTCTTTTAGAGAGTCATGAAATTGGAGGTCAATCAAGTCACACATGAAATTATCTATGTTGACGAGGCTGGCTTCAACTTGGCGAAAAGGCGTTGCCGTAGGAGAAACATAATAGGCCAAAGGGCTATCGTTACCATGCCGGGCCAGAGAAGAAGTCGGGCAAATGCAGAAGACCAGGCAGTATAGAAAATTATTTAGTTTTTTATTATAATTGTGATGCTTTTGTGATTTCCTTTTGCAAATAAAGTCTGCTGCAGCAATTCTGTGTCTGTATTTTTTTTTACATCAACTGTAAATTTTATAAAGCAATTTTTTTCTTTATTTTTGTATTGAACTTTTGCAGTAAAAAAAGAAAATGCATTTACTAAACCCAACAAAATGAAAATGTAGAGAGTCTTAAAATATAAGGGCAAAGCTGACAAATAAACTAATGTAAGCAGTTTCTGTAAATTTAACTGATGCTTGTGTTTTTATTGTCAGTGTTTTCTGATTGACTGAATGTTTCTGTTGGAGGAGCACATGTGTTAGTGTTTTGAACAATTATGTCATTTTGAAACATGTTTGTAGTGTTTTGTTAGACATAAGCCCCTTTCACACATACAGACCTTTCCGGAAAATTGCCGGCAATTTTCCGGAAAGGTTGTATGGGTGAACAGGTCCTTTGTGAAAATACCGGTAAATTCGTTCTGGCTATTTTCCGAAAAGAGAAGTTGTAACATTACCGGCAATTTGCCGGAATGCTGTGCTGTGTGAATGCAGAAGGAAGATTCCCGTAATAAGCGCGTGCACGTCTAGAACGTGCCGACGTGAGACGTCTGCTTTAGCCAATCACAACAGTCAGACGCATTTACGTCCGCGCGGTTTGTGAGAATAAAAACCTTTGAATATTTTTCCAGACACATTTAGCTGCTAGAAGTTAGTCAGATCACGTTTATATGTTCTTCTTAATGCCAACTGTGTAAATAATCATCGATGAGAGGCTTATGATAAGCCGTTGTTTGTTTACCTTCAAGCTTTGCGTGAGCCTGTGAGCACCTGCACACGCACATATTATGAACATCTCGACATGCGAAAGTGATTTTGCGAAAATTGTTCACAATATTGATCATCCACAGAGTTTTTAATTAAGTCAAATGTTTACAAATACAAGCGCAGCCGTTTAAAGTTCATTTGTGGTGAATGATGTCAGAATTTACCGGTATTTTGGAATGGATGTGTGAATGCTCTTTTCCGGAAAATTTCCGTAACGTCCTCGCCTGTGTGAACAGCGCTTTTTTGAATATACCCGTAAAGTCGTTCCGGAAATATCACTGTGTGAATGGGGCTTGTGTGAAAGGGGCTATAGTGTAGTGTGTTTGTTTATTATTGTATTTTGAAAAGTAGTTTAGAGGTTTAGTTTACAATGTGTGATTTTGAGCATGAAATTAACTGTTCTGTCAATTGTGTGTTTTGGGTGTGTTGCTGCGTTAAGAGTTTAGCAAAAAAATTGCTTTATAAAATTTACAGTTTATGTAAAAAAAAAAAAATACAGACACAGAATTTCTGCAGTACAGACATTTTTTAGAAGAACATCACTGCAAACAGAAAAAGCACCACAATTATAATAAAATAACAAAGTAATCTTCTATTCTGCCCGGTCTTTTGCCACATGTTCTCATCCACATTATACTTGATATCTTCTGTGGCCCGAAACAGTAACTGTGGCCCTTAGGCCTATTATGTTTTTCCTATGGCGACATCCCCAGCCTTGTCAACATTGAAAATTTCATGTGGTACTTGATTGGCCTCTAACTTCATGACTCTCTGAAAGTAATTAGACACAGTGTATGCAAATGCTGTACTGTATATGTACTGTATGTACTAATGAACTCCAGGTTTAAAGAGTAGTTTACTGCAAAACACACTGTGTATAGTACAGTAATGACTGTATTGCATAATCTTACATGGACGTATTGGTGACAGAGTTCTTTGATGCGCTCACTGTTCCTTTCAAAAACCTCAAGAGTCCTCTATTAGAACATATGATCATGTGATTGGAAAAACCAAAACAAGACATGAGTGTGCTTTCTAGATGGGAATCAGCTGTCATATATATATATATATATATATATATATATATATATATATATATATATATATATATATATATATTTTTTTTTTTTTTTTTTTTTTCAGTTGCCAATGAGAAACAGCATATTGCATTTGTATAAATAAATAAAGAAATATATATATATATATATATATATATATATATATACACATACACACACACACACACATTTATTTATTCATTTATATAACCGCAATATGCTGTTTCTCATTGGCAATTGAATAAAATACAGGGAATAAATTTGTGTTTCAATTCACAATTAAAACAGCTGTTCACTTTGACTTTATCCTATATAATTTCTGTTTAGAACATGGTCTTATCTGTTCTGACATACTGTGTTAAAGCATTTGTAAATTTGACTGTAAAATTACATTGTTTTGTTCTTGGTTGTGCTTGTGTGTAAAAGAAGTTAAAGCATTTTAAATTTGTGTTAACTGGATGCATTTTCTGTCAAAACAACAAGAAATGTGTTAATTGTATAGCCCACGAAGACGGATGTTGTGCTAACTCTGTTAAGAGTTTAGGAAACTTGTTAAATGTATTGATAAAAGTGTCATAGCAATTGTTAAAAACTGTAAATGTATTGAAAAAAAGTGTCATAGCCATTGTAAAAAACTGTAAGTAATATTAGCACCCGTACAGCCTCTTTACCCTTTGTGTAATACTCCACCCACATACAGCCAACAAAAAGCAGACACTACAGATCTAAAGTTTAAAAGATGCTTGCTCAACTGTTTAACTGTCAGCTTATGATTTGAATCCAATGCGGAAGAAAGTAGTTTCTCATACAAAAGGGTTTTTGAGACTCTCCATGCTTGATTGTGTTTTTATTTACACAATTATGTCATAAAACTGTAAAATTGTATTTTTTTGGTTGAGTTTGTGTGTAAACAAAGTTCAAGCAATTTAAATTGGTGTTAACTGGATGCATTTTATGTCAAAGCAACAAGAAATGTGTTAAATGTATAGCCCATGAAGATGGATGTTGTGCTAACCGTGTTAAGAGTTTAGGAAACTTGTTAAATGTATTGAAAAAAGTGTCATAGCAATTGAAAAAAATGTTAAAACTCTTTAAATGTTCTTCTCACAGATCGATCGAAAAGTCGAATGACACGGATAATCAGCCCATCCTGATGAACGAAACACAGCACAGTCCTCACTATGATATCCATTTGGTTCTCCATGATTCCAGAACCTGCACAACAGATCAGCATTAGATGTTTAGTGCTATTTTCTGTGTAATATGATTCTGACTGGGAGAATTATTTAATAGATAAAAATAAATACAGTGATTTCTCACCCAGGGATCAGGCTGGTGTCATCGACCCATTTCCATATGTCCTCATTAGCTCTGTCAGTCAGACCAATCCAGACCAAAGCACCACCAGATATTTTCTCAACAAAATCCTAAGAAGTTTGCAATATTACATTCTAATCCGATAACGCCACCATTTAGCTCTTCACACAGACTTTATACCTTGTATATACTGTAAAAGTATATGACTAACCATTTATGGTGTACAGTAACAGTAACCAGGGGCAGACTTAACCAATAAGTGAGGTAAGCAGCTGCATAGACCCACGGGGTTTTCAAAAATGCCAAGAAGCCTATATTACAATTTTTTTTTGTATTGCTTAAGCACGGTTTTCAAAACAGGGCTTGTGTTTTCAAAACAGTACACACAATTAGCACAACCACACACTCAATTAGCAAAACAATAAATCCTTTGCATAATCAAACACTCTTATAAAAACTATACACTTATGTTTAAAAACCATACTTTTTTATCATAAGAAACACACGTTTCACATTTACTATACTCTGTTTGCACAAGTTACACTCTGCTGTGACAAACCCTAAACACTTTTAGCACTTCCCTATGATTAGAGTAGGCTACCATCAACAAAGTACAAATATAAAGTAAATCCACTAAAAACACCACACAAGACCAATGTTGCGCACTGAAGAAACTGATTTATTTCTCGACATGCCCAAAATGGAGATGTGTAGAGTTTTGCAACAAGTGTGAGATTGACAATGTGCTTATACAGTTTTTTTTTTGGATTGCTTATACACTAAAATTAAAACTAGTACACTATTAGCAAAACCTTACACACGAGTATCAAAACATCAGCCCATATTTGCACAACTATAAGCACATTGTCAACCTCACACTTGTTGCAAAACTCTACACACAGTGATTTTCAAAACACTAAACACACTTAACATACATTACACACTAAAATCTATCACTTCCTTGCAATACCAAAGCACTGACTGTCAAATTACTGCACCGTCCAACCAATTGGTTCAACACAGTCGTCATGTGTGCAAACACTTGTTTGATTAATTGTAGACACACAAATCAGGTGTTTAAGCACTATAAAATGCCAGTTTTAATGATAACCATCAGGTCTCAATATCAACACTGGCACACACCATAAAAAAACATATTTAAATGAAGCAAATTTATCAAGAGCCTTTAGAGCACAATTTCGAAAGGGTGAAACGACTGTGTCATGATTATGCAGAGGTATGTATTCACTTTAATCTACAGTAATCTTTTACTGTACTGTAATACTAGATCTACACTGAACTGCACAATTTTGCCTGACACTGTTCTTCAGGTAGTTTTATGAATGGATGGAGAGGAGGTCTAACATGAGTTCATTTATGTAGATGATGGTGTGTTCAACCTGACGAGAACACGGAGTAGAAGAAACATCATTGGCCACAGGGCTATAGTCAATGTCCCAGGGCAACATGGGGGAAATAACACTCTGTTCAGCCATTACAAAGAATGGGGTCCTCCACTGCCATGACTACAGGGGCCTTTACAACACAGCACATATACTTACATTCTTGGACCAATTGCACAACATAACAGCAGCAAATCAAATCAATCATACGCAATACATTGTTGTCTGGGACAATATGTCTTTCCACTGTTCTGCTCAGGTTCAGAACTGGTTTCAGCAACATCCACATTTCACCGTCCTATATCTTCCACCACATTCTCCATTCCTCAACCCTATAGAAGAGTTTTTCTCGGCATAGTGGTGGAAGGTATATGATCTCCATCTCCAAGCTGAGGTACCCCTCATCCAAGCCATGGAGGAGGCCTGTGACCAGATGGAGGTAGCTGCAATACAAGATTCTACATTCAAGACACTTCTTTCCAAGGTGTCTTGCTAAGGACAACATTCAATGTTGATAATTCTCATGCCAGATCCAGCTAGGTGAAGAGAAAATGCCTAACTTACAGTTCAATACGTAAAGTGACATGTTACAGTTCTTTGAATCTTCATGTCAACATGTTGGACATATTGAGGAATAAATGAGTTTCTTCAAGGTGCAACATTGTTCTTGAGAAGTGTTTGGTGAATTTGCTTTATTTTTGTACTTTGTTGATGGTAGCCTACTCTATTCATAGGGAAGTAGAAGTTCTAAAAGTGTTTTAGGTTTATCACAACAGAGTGTAACTTGTGCAAACAGAGTGTAGTAAATGTGAAAATGTGTGTTCCCCTTTGGGTGGGGAACTCCAATGCTATAGGTGGATTTGATTGTAGAAAATCAACGTATGGGAGGATTCGGTTCAGAAGCCGCTTGTCTGAAAGAGTATTGAACGGGTCAAAGAAATCCAATGAATTGGCAGCGTAAGCTTGCGCAGGTGTACTTCATTGTCAATCTTCCCAGCATATAAGCACACGTGGAGCTAGCAAACGCCATCCTTTTCGCTTCAGAGACTTTCTGATCGAGTCGATGAGGGTTCCTCCTGCTGTGATCCAGCGATGCCGAGCGAACGAGAGTATTCTACCGGTCCAGTGTGTGTACAGGCAGCGGCAGACGGTCGAGCTGGGTTTCTCCCTTGCCTGGCGTTCTTTGGGTCCGGTCCTCCAGAGCGGTGCGTATAAAGTTGCAACTTTACAAAGAGAGCAACACAGTCGTGCAGCACGTCCTTTTCAGGATGGCGCTCCGACTGTGCATTTCTGGATGCGGTGGTTTTCTGTCCTCAGATAATGGGCACGGGCACTGCGTTACATGCTCCAGCATGTTAATGCGCTGCTCGCGGGCAGTCGATGACGTTATTGCGATGCCATGACTGTTGCGCAGTAAAGATCGCGGCTAGCCTTTGCAAAGGGGCAAACCACCCCAGTTGTCCCCTGCTCTGCTCTGCCTACGAGGCTGCACCACCCCTGCACACGCCTCTGGTGACGCGGGCGCGTCTAGCACCTCGGAAGCAGGCAGCCCCCTGCCCAGAACGCCGCTAAGTCCGTCAACGGATCGCGAAGCATCCCTGGGACAGGTCATCTGGGAAGAGGGAACTTGCTCTTTCCCTGCTGGAGGTCGGGGCCTTATTTCCAACGGCACTTTTTACTGCCATGAAAACATCTATGAAAGAGCACTTTTCCACGTCCCCGGATGTGACAGCCCGAAATCTGCCAGTCTGAGACACTGTGCTCTTTAGCTCGCAGGTTCGGTGCGCTCCGCCAGTGGCTCACGATTGCTGGGGGGACGGTCTCCTTTCCCCCAACCCTCGAGCCCTCTCTCCTGAGTCAGGGTGCGGAGCCAGAGCGAATTGCTCTCCTCTAGCTCTTCCGCGCGACCCCCCGCGCTTCCTCACAATCAGCACACCTTCTCCGCGCTGCCCCACCGCTGGTACGTAAGCGATTGTAGCGATGACTACATTAGCGAGGGCTCTACCTGCCTGGTTAGCGCGGGCCAGCCCCTCGCGGTGGCTCATACGCACAATCGGACTCGGCTATACGATTCAGTTCGCGAAACAGCCCCCCAAGTTCACGGGTGTGTATTTCACCAGGGTAGACCCCCTGTCCACCCCTGTCTTGCGAGAGGAGATTGCTGCCCTCCTGGCAAATTATGCAATCGAGCCGCTCCCTCCAGCTGAGATGGAGAGTGGGTTTCACAGCCCACACTTCATCGTGCCCAAAAGAGCGGTGGGTTACAGCCAATCCCAGATCTGCTAGTTTGGAACCGCTGGCTGCACTATCTGCCATTCAGAATGCTCACGCAGAAGCACATTCTCTGGTGCGTTCGTCCTCTGGGTTGGTCTGCAGCATTAGACCTGATGGACGCGTATTTCCGTGTCTCCACTCTTCCTCGCCACCGCTAGTTTCTGAGGTTTGCGTTCGAAGGTCGAGCGTGGCAATACAAGGTCCTTCCCTTCGGGCTCTTTCTGTCTCAGGGGGTCTTTACCAAACTCGCGGAGGGTGCCTTAGCGCCCCTTCGGCTCACGGGCATCCGCATACTCAATTATCTCGACGACTGGCTGATTTTAGCCCACTCGCGGGAGCAATTGACTATGCACAGAGACAAGGTGCTCCGGCACCTCCGCCTTTTGTGGTTGCAGGTCAACCGAGAAAAGAGCCTGTGCAGAGGATCTCTTTTCTCGGGATGGAGCTGGACTCGGTCACCATGGTAACGCACCTCTTCGGAGAGCGCGCTCGCCTGCTGCTGAACTGTCTGATAGAGCTCGACAGCTAAATAGTGGTCCCACTGAAATACTTTCAGAGGCTCCTGGGGCATATGGCATTTATTGCAGCCGTCATGCCACTCGGATTGCTACATATGAGACCACTTCAGCACTGACTTCGCGATTGAGTCCTAAGACGCGCATGGCATGCGGGCACACATCGAGTCTCTGTCACTGCGCTGTGTCGCCGCGCCCTCAGCCCTTGGAATGACCCCTCGTTCCAGCAGGCCAGTGTGCCTCTGGGACAGGCGTCCAGTCATGTTGTTGTCTTAACAGATGCTTCCAACACGGGCTGGGGAGCCTTGTGTCGCGGGCATGCAGCTGCGGGCCTATGGAAAGGTGCCCAGCTGCATTGGCATATCAATCTCCTTGAGCTGTTGGCAGTGTTCCTCGCTCTCCACTGCTTTTTCCGGTGTTGGAGCAGCAACACGTGCTGGTCAGGACAGACAGTACAGCGGCGGCAGCGTATATCAACCGTATGGGGGGTATGGGCTCTCGCCGCATGTCTCAGCTCGCCCGCCGTCTGCTCCTCTGGAGTCACCTGCGGCTAAAATCGCTGCGCGCCATTCACTTCCCAGGAATGCTCAACCATGCAGCCGATGTGCTCTCACGGCAGCAAATTCACTCTGGAGAATGGAGACTCCACCCCGAGTCTGTCCAGCTGATATGGGCGCGTTCGGGGAGGCCCAGATCTATCTGTTTGCTTCCCCCGAGAACGCTCATTGCCAGTTGTTCTTTTCCCTGACCGAGGGCTCTCTCAGCACGGATGCACTGGCCCACAACTGGCCTCGGGGCATACGCAAGTATGCATTTTCCCCAGTGAGCCTGCTCGCGCAGTTATTGTGCAAGGTCAGGGAGGACGAGGAGCAGGTCCTGCAAGTTGCGCCCCTCTGGCCCAACCGGACCTGGATATCAGAGCTCTCCCTCCTCGTGACGGCCCTCCCCTGGCGTATCCCTTTGAGAGGACCTACTCTCTCAGGGACAGGGCACCATCTGGCACCTTCGCCCCGATCTCTGAAACCTCCATGTGTGGTCCCTAGACGCAAAAAAGACTTAGGTAACCTACCTTCTGCGGTAGTTGATACCATCACTCAGGCTAGAGCCCCCTCCATGAGGCACGCCTACGCCCTGAAGTGGAGTCTATTCACTGAATGGTGTGTCTCTCGCAGAGAAGACCCCCGAACCTGCCAGATCAGTGTTGTGCTCTTTTTCCTTCAAGAGAAGCTAGAGAGCAGGCTGTCGCCCTCCACTCTCAAGATTTACGTGGCTGCCATCTCCGCTCATCATGATACGGTAGCTGGCGGCATCGTGGGGAAAACCCATCCTCATCATCCGGTTCCTCAGAGGCGCTAGGCTCGCCCCCCTCTCATGCCCTCTTGGGATCTCGCCCTCGTTCTCACGAGCCTGCACACAGATCCCCTTGAGCCACTCGAATCAGTATCCTTAAGATTTCTGTCCCTGAAGACAGCTCTGCTAGTCGCGTTGGCCTCCTTAAGAGAGTCGGGGACCTGGAGGCATTTTTGGTCAGTGACTCGTGGCTGGAATTCGGGCCGGATTATTTCTCACGTTATTCTGATACCCCGCCCGGGTTATGTGCCCAAGGTTCCTACCACTCCTTTTAGAGACCAGGTAGTAACCCTGCAAGCGCTGCCCCCGGAGGAGGCAGATCCAGCCCTTTCCTTACTCTGTCCAGTTTGCGCTCTGTGCACCTATGTGGACCGTACTAAGTACTTTAAATCATCTGAGCAGCTCTTTGTCTGTTATGGCAGTCGGCAGCAGGGAAGTGCCGTATCCAAACAAAGATTATCCCACTGGATTGTGGAGGCCATTTCATGTGCTTATTTGAGCAGAGGCGAGCCGTGTCCCCCGGGAGTGCGTGCACGCTCGGAGCGTTGCATCCTCTTGGGCGCGTGCACGCGGCGCCTCTCTAACAGACATCTGTAGAGCTGCGGGCCGGGCGACACCCAACACATTTGCTAGGTTTTACAATCTGCGAGTGGAGCCGGTTTCCTCAAGGGTATTAGGTAACCCTTGGTGATTGAGGAAACAACTCGGTGGGGTGTTGTAACACGCTTGCGGTACCATTTTTTCCCTAACACGGAGAGATGTTGTCTGTCAGTAAGTTCCCCGTCAGGTGAGCACTGCAGATTCCTCCGTGGCCCCAGCACTGACTCAGTGGAGGAGTCATTTGCTGGCCCACTACGCTGTAGGTCTGCCCGCTGGTCAGCCCGCGTTTTGGGTATAGGTGCCTGCTATGTGTTATGGGATGTGCGACCCCCTCTAGGCGATCCCATATGCCTTTCCGCCATGGTTCAGTCCCCCATCTTGGGTGGACCCGTGCCTTCCCTATCCGCTAACCACCTTCTGCGTAACGACAGAAGACCAATTCATTGGCTTTCATTGGCCCGTTCAATACTCTTTCAGACAAGCGGCTTCTGAACCGAATCCTCCCATACGTGGATTTTCTACAATCAAATCCACCTATAGCATTTCCGTTCCCCTCCTCGGAAGGGTTACTTCTGTAACCTGAGCGTTTCTTATGGTAAAAAAGTGTGGTTTTTAAACAGAAGTGTATAGTTTTTACAAGACTATTTAATTATGCAAAGGATCTGTAGTGTTTTGCTAATTGGATGTGTGTGGTTGTGCTAATCGTGTGTACTGTTTTGAAAACATGGGCCCTGTTTTGAAAATCGTGCTTAAGCAATCCAAAAAAACTGTAGTATGAGCTTTTTGAGTGTAAGGTTTAATTAATTTTAGTGTGTAAGCAATCCAAAAAAAACTGTAATCATATAGCTCTTTTATACATTTTCTATGATATGCTGTAAAATCTGCCTAAAAGCATTACAGTTTTAATATTATTACTTCTTTACAAATCCAGGGGCCTTTATGAACAACCTAGTGGAACTTTCCTTCTGTTCTGCACATGCAAATATTAAAATCTAACAGTGCATAAACCACTTTAATTGTGTAATATCAAGATCATATCCATGTCATTGTACAATTGTAAACAAACCCTAACACACACACACACGCGCACACACACACACACACACACACACACACACACACACACACACACACAGTATACTCTACTCACTAATTCTTCTCTGTTGTTTATGATGATCAGATCTGCTTTTCTGTCTGTACAGTATCTTCTGCTCTCAGACCAGCTTCTCTTCTCAGAGGAAATGAAGTATAATCTGGACTGATAATAAAAACATCCACCTGTAAACACAAAGGTGTGTTAGTATTTTGTTCCTTTCATTATTAACATATTTATTCTATTAGTTTGTAACCAAATCTTATATATTTAATGTGTTACACTTTTTTCCATAAATTTAACAAGTTTGCTAAACTCTTAATGCAGCAACACACCCAAAACACACAATTGGCAAAACAGTTAATTTCATGCTCAAAATCACACATTGTTAACTAAACCTCCAAACAACTTTTCAAATTACAGTAATAAACTAACACAATACAGCATGTCTAACAAAACACTGCAAACATATTTCAAAATGACATAATTGTTCAAAACTCTAACACGTGCTCCTCCAACATAAACATTTCAAGAGTTCACACTTAGCTGATGATTAATTATAAAAGCTTGTTTGGCATGCTGTCCCGGGAGAGAGCCCTGAGCTCATGAGATCCTCGAGCCCAGGGCTCCCTCCCGTTGCAAGGCGGGAGGGGAGTTTGAGCTCAGGTAGATCTCGAGAACTCCCCAAAATGCCTTTGTATAGCTCGGGACAGCAGCCGCGTATTGAAAAGCCCCCCAAAAAGCAGGTGTAACAAAGCCATATCCGGCTGCTGGATATAGCGTTGATAGCTTAGAAAGAGCAGCTCCTGCGGGAGCAGAGCAAAGTAGACTGCTAGAGTCTAGACGGGGTGAGGGCAGGGCTGTATTGACTCCACGGGGTCAAGGCTCAAATATATACACCCCTGCGGGGGTGGGAGCTGGGGTTAGATTGCTCAAGCAAGAGTCGGGAAGGTTTGGGCGGTGAAGACTCCTTCATGAGAGGGTGGGAGGTGACCAGGGCCTGAACTCCTGCTGGAGTTGAAGCTCGTTTTAGTCGCTCCTGCGGGAGCTAGAGCTGAGGATTGAGGGCCTAAGCGAAAGGAAGAACATAGCAAAAGAGCGACGCTGAAAGAAAAACAGTTAGCGGAGAACTCAACGCTGGAAAAGAAATTGAGGAAATAGAAGGGTAAGGAGATAAGGAGGCAGATCAATCACACACATTCCCATGCGCACCCATACACAAGCACACACACACGCGCACTCTAGCCTACTTAGGGTCGAGCTCATACCCCTAGTTGGAGTTTGGAATTTAGCTGGTTAGGGCTAGCTGGGCTGTCTTGAGGTGGGATCGGCTAAGGCGAATGTAAGCTTTGAAGGCATCGGAGGACCAGCGGCCTAGGGTCTGGATTTGGTGCGAGGATAGACCTTTGTGAGCTGCTGTGGTGGCTGCGCCAATTCTAAATAAATGCCTGGAATACAATTCGGGGGAAACGCCCGAAAGGCGAAGGACTTCTTTCAGATGTTTTTGAAACCAAAAACGGGTTACTGGACAGTTAGCGTCATCAGTAAAAAGTGGGGCACGTGGGTCGGACTCCTTTGATCTCCTTGAATGGAGAAAAGCTAGGAGAGTTTGGATTGGCTGTGTGGGGGAAAAATTTTTAAATATGTAAATAAAATGTCCTTTGCCTGTCTGATCTGTTTTGCTTTGCTTAATGAAAAAGGCGAGTGTTTCAGCATTCAGCAGTGTTAGATCAGATATAGTGGGGTGTATTGCGGGGTTGAAATTGGATGTGATAGCCATTTCTGAACACCTCAGGAAGCCAAAAAAAGCCAGGATAAACATGGCGTCTAGTGTACGGGCTGTGTGAAGTGAGAGGTATCCTTTGCGCAGTGTGCATATGCACTTTGCTAAAATATTGAGCGTAATGGGTAGTCTAGTGTTGGAAAGGGGGGGGGGGGGGTGTGATTTCTGGATACCTTTAATGAGGAGGGAAGTTTGAGCATTAGAAATGGCTTCTGAGGTGGCCCCGTAAATCAATTTATGAAGAAATTGGACCCCACTAAGGTAGCTTTTTATGGAGCTCGCCTGGATATTTTTGGCTGTATGGAGGTGGGAAAGAAATGATGTAATGGAAAGCAATGAAAAATCTGGGAACTGTATTTGGTACAGGGTGTGGAAGTATTTATAAGATTTCCATGCTGTGAGATGTGACTGAAGGGTCCCTGGTGCGACAGCGTGAAGGATCAGGGATATGGAAGTTTCATGGAGGCGGTGTAATGGGTGGTTTATGGCAATATCATTTGTGAATAGAGTGGAACAGGTGTTGGATGCTGGTCTGCTTCCGGTACCAAGAGCCGAAATTTCTGGAAAAGAAAGCGAGAGAGAGAATCAGCAATTTAATTTTTGCAACCTGGAAGATATTAGGTCGCTATAGAAAAAGGAACAGCCATTCCATTGCTTAAGGAAGGAGATCCATAAGCTGAGTTCATTGCGACTGGGTTTAGAAAGATATATGGTATCTTCTAAACCGGGGACCGAGGAGGAGAGCTGAAGGAGGTGAGTAATAAACGGGCGGCCTTGGGGAATTATGCGCATCGCGAAATTGAAATGCCCAAGAATAGATAGCAGTTCGCGTTTGGTGCATGATTGTTTCCCGAGGAAAATTTGAGATAAAGAGATTATACGGTCGATCTTTTCTTTGGGAAGGGATGCTTGAAATTTATTCGAATCTAAGTTGATGCCCAGAAATTCTATGGAAGTGCTGGGACCGGCTGTTTTCTCCTCTGCGAGGGGGATGCCTAGATTTTCGAAAACCTTTTGGGTGATCGATAGGTGTTTAGCTGGAGGTGAAGAAGGTGGGGAAATAAGGAGAAAATCATCGAGGAGATGGATGATATGCGGGATTTCGTAGTTATTAGATAAAATCCAGCATAATGCTTCAGAAAGCATATCGAAAATTTTAGGACTACTTTTGCAGCCGAAAGTTAATCGGACTGCAGAGTAAAATTGTGAGCACCAATAAATGCCAAAAAGGTGCCAGAAGTCTGGGTGAATTGGCATGATTTTAAAGGCGGATGAAATGTCGATTTTTGCAAGCCAAGCATTGCGACCAGCTAATCTGATGAGCGAAATTGCTTGGTCTGTATCATGATAATTCAGCAAGTATTCGTGTGATGGAATGATGCTGTTAATGCAAGGAAATATAGAGTTATGCGGAGCGGAGAGATCGATAATCAATCGTTTTTTGTTAGAGAATTTCCTAGTTGCTACACCGATTGGACTAATACTAGAAACGCTGAACGGTGGGGCGGGAAAAGGTCCTATCATGAATTTATTGTCAATTTCTTTTTTGATTAACATATCGACAGTTTCGGGATCAGTAGTAGCAGATTGCAGATCAGGACAGAATAGGTTGGAGGCAGGGAGAGCTGAAACGCCCGGGTTAAATCCGTGGGTTAGACCTGAAATCAGAAAATCAGAGAAGTTAGTATCAGGGTGACAGCGCAATTCAAAGGCAAGTCGAGAAACATTCACAGGAGTTGACAAGTAATACTCTTAACACCTGGCAAATCACTTTGGCATGAGCGCCTCCGCAGTAGCTGCATAAATGAAGATTATAAATGATTGCAAGGAGCCCTGTAACACCTGCTGATGTTGAAGTTTTGACAGATAGGACGATTAGAAGAAAGAGATGGAGAGAGAAGAGAAGGCAGATTATTGCTGGGTGGGCGGGGGACGTGACTAGTGGATTTAGGAGGTTGTACAGAATCAGAGGGGAGAGTGATAAAAGGACAGGATGTGGTGGGGTGAAGATTGGAGCGGCAGATGGCGCAAGATAAATTACGGCATCCCAGAAAGTCTCGGTTGTGGAGTTCAAAATCTACGGCCCCCCAGTAAGAAATTTGGTTCCACTGAGTCAATCTGATAGCGCATTTAGCGGAGAACAATTTATGGTACGTGTAGAAATGTGTACCCCCATAGGAGAGTGCTAGCTCGGCTATAATAGCCATGTGGGGGACCCTATGGGGGAAGACTGAGCAGATGACGTCAGTGAAGTGAGCGAAGGCTATGGAGAA